CCATAGACGGCCCCAAGGGCGCGCCAGGGCGCCCCAACAGCGTCCCAAGAGGTCCTCAAGATATCATGATTCGGTTTCCGACGTGGCGGTTCGGTGGGGGGTAAATTGAGAACCCACTCTCTGCTTTGATCGATGGGTTCCGAGGTGACCCAAGACGCCCTCAAGGCCCCCAAGAGGGCCACAAGAGAAAGCTCCGAAGGCACCAAACATGCCCCCAAGATGGTCCAAGCAAGCAGCCAAGGGGCTCCTACGTGGAAGTACCCGCAAAGACATTGATGGCTGACTCCTGGTTCTGCTCAAGCTCTGATCGTGAGCTTCGCTCTGACGGCTGCCGCATCCTTGTTCCGTTGCTCGTTTGATCTCACACTGCCCTGATCAGGGTAACTCCCCTGGACTTGGTGGGGTAACGCGAGGTATCAAGAACTGCTTCGCGAGTAACCCGGGCTGCGACACCACGACGTCGCGGCACGACGTAACCATATGCCGACACCGCGACACTCTGCCCCATCCCAAATCTGCGACGCCACAGCACCGTCACGCCGTGATGCCGCGACACCGCTGCATCACAGAACGACGACGCAACGGCGAAACGTCACCACAGCACGGCGCTGCGACGCAGCGCCGCTGCGCCATTGCGGCCTTTCGCCCCCCGCGCCTCCCCCCCGCCAACAGTAATGACGTGATCAGGCGACGGGCGTTCTCCCACAGCGCTACGGGCCTTCGGTTTCGAGCAGGTCTTCGCGCGAACGTCTCGCACGACGCGGGGCATGAAAGAACTGGCTCTCAGTTTGTGCGCGGGCCGCCGAATTCTCCGCACCCAGGACCTGCGACACATTATCGTTGACGGCGTAGTTGTAGAACGTCGTTGTTGCTGGGCGCGGACCATGGGCCACAGCCAGCCGCATCTCGTTCCGCACTCCGCCCCGTGGACCGCCGCCCCCTCGAGTGACCGATTCAGCCCTGGGGCCATGAGCAGGCCAGCCACAACTGGGGGAGCTGTGGTCCTTACCCCCCTGGGGACCCATCGATTTCGACACCCCTCTCGAGAGATCGTCGATGCGATGGGCTCCCCCAGGGGGGTAAGGACCACAGCTCCCCCAGTTGTGGCTGGCCGGATGAGCGGGCAGAGTCCAGGCATGCGCTTGAGCTGTGGGCACGAGCCCCGCTCCTTCCGAATCTGGCAGCGAGGCGGGCGGGCGCGCGGCGCTGCGCAGGCGGCTGGCGCGGCCGGGGCCGCCAGACTGGGCGAACGCCGTGCAGCCCAGGGCTCGGGCTGCCTGTTGCACCCGCCTCCCTCTTCCCCTCCGCGCACCACCACCCACTACGCACGCGCGCGCGGAGCCACAGGTCCGCTACGACACGCGTCCGCGGATAGAGAAAATCAGCGCCATGGTAAGGAATGGGATGGAGGGGCAGGACGTCAGATATGACGCGCGCGCACCTATCTTGCCCCCTCCCCTCCCCCTCTCCCCCTCTTCGTGCCCCAGGGCTCCTTCGCGCTTGTACAAAAAGAGTGCACCATGGCCCCTGCCCCGAGGCCACGACGGGGTGGCCCCATCGCCACTGGCGACCGCGCCTCTCTTCGGGGGGCCTCGGGGTGGCACGCGGAGCCGCGGGGCACGCACGGCCCTGCCCGACGTCCGCGCCCAGCCCCGGGGGGGTCCAACGACTGACGGGCCTGTTGTCCACCTCCACCACCATAGGTAGGCGAGGGATGGGGTCCTCCTCCTCTTCCTCCTCCTCCTCTTTCTCCTCCCCCTCTTCGTCGTTGTCGTCGTCCTTCTTTTCCGCCTCCTCCTCCTCCTCCCCCTCCTCCTCCGCCTCCTCTTTCCCCCTCCAATTCAAGGTGGTGGTGGTGGTCGAAAAAAGAGGCCCATCAATTCGCCCATGCTGGGTCGGCATCGCCCACATGTACCGTGTGTGCGTCGGCCCCCGCAGGGGCGACGTGCGCGCGCTCAGAGATCACGTGGTATATGTTCGGTGGCGCCGGTTTCCAGCCGCTCCGCTGGAAGGAAGCGGGGTGCCACATGCCACAGCATGTCTGCGCCAGGTGTGCGGCGCGGGCGTGCTCCTCCAAGGGAGGCGCACGGTACTGGCACGTCCTCCCGCGTCCCAGTGGGCCATGCAGAAGTGGCCGGCCCCGTGGGCCGCCGCTTCTTTGGGGCTCCGGCTTGAGGCTGTGTGTGAATTCTTTACGCTTCGCGTATCCCCACCAGCCCATCTCACAGCAGCAACTCTTGCGAAGCATGCAGACAGTCGTGTTTTTCAGGCGTGTGTCCGCTTGGCCCCGCATATCTCCCCTGTTCCTCCTTCCTCCCGCCTCCTTGTACATCCTCCTTGTGGGGGGAGCGGGAGAAGGACGAGGCGGAGGAGGAGGGAGAGAAAGCGCTCCTCGTGATTTGAGTCGTTTGGGGTTTCTCGTCCTGGTGTGAGTCGTTCGGGCCCTTCTTCCTGGTGTGAGTCGTTCGGGCTCTTCGTGGTGTGAGTCGTTCGGGCTCTTCGTCCTGGTGTGAGTCGTTCGGGCTTCTCGTGGTGTGAGTTGTTCGGGCCCCTCGTCCTGGTGTGAGTCGTTCGGGCCCCTCCTCCTGGTGTGACTCGTTCGGGCTCCTCGTGGTGTGAGTCGTTCGGGGCCCGCGTCGTGGTGTGAGTCGTTCGGGCTCCTCGTGGTGTGAGTCGTTCGGGCGCCTCGTCCTGGTGTGAGTCGTTCGGGCCCCTCCTTGTGGTGTGAGTCGTTCGGGCTCTTCGTGGTGTGAGTCGTTCGGGCCCCTCGTCCTGGTGTGAGTCGTTCGGGCTCCTCGTGGGGCCTCTTGGGGGCCTCTTGGAGCCTCTTGGGGCCTCTTGGGGGCCTCTTGGGGGCCTCTTGGGGGCCTCTTGGGGGCCTCTTGGGGCCTCTTGGGGGCCTCTTGGGGGCCTCTTGGGGGCCTCTTGGGGCCTCCTGGGGGCCTCTTGGGGGCCTCTTGGAGGCCGCTTGGGAGCCTCCTGGGGGCCTCTTGGGGCCTCTTGGGGCCTCTTGCGACCTCAGAAGCGCAAATGAGCGCTGCCCCCTGAGGAGGACAAAATGAACCCAAAACCTTCGTAAAATCAATGATTTTGCTATGAAGGACGATGAGCGCTGCCCCCTCAGAAGCCCAAAATGGGGCCGAAACCCTAGTAAAATCAATTATTTTTGCTTCAAAGACGAGCTGAGGCACCAAACTCCCCCCCCCCCCCTCGGGGCCAGAATCCTCGTGAGGGTCGTCGTTTTTTGGCCCTCCCAGGCGTCGAATAAGACCCCCTTGACACCACTCGGAACTCCCTCTCCAGGTCCAGGGGGAGGGGGTAGGGGGAGGGGTAAACCCCTCCCCGAAGGGGAAGATGGGGGGTTGAGGACAGAGAGAGCTCGCTAAACCACTCACGCCCAAAGGGCTGGTGGGATTCGTGCGCGCACTCCGGGCACCCTCTCCGGAGCCTGGCCGCGTGCTGCGCGCGCGGCCAGAGCGGGTGCGCTGTGCCGGGCAAGCATGCAGAAGTGGCCGATCTCTGCGAGGATCGTGCTTGCGGCGGCGGCATTGGATCAGGAACGTCTTCCTGGGGCCCAGACACTGGCGCACTCCTCATTTTTCACGGCGAGGTGGGTGGCCCACGTGCGGCCGCCCATCGGTCGCGAGGCCCTGGGTCCCTCATCGAAGGAACCCTTTATCTCAAACCTGCACCGTATCGCCGTGGCGTGCACGCAGGCCCATGTCCCGCGGCTCGAGCCAGATGGGCCAGGGCGCGTCGCCGGCCCGCGCGCCGTAGGCGCTCCGTGGGCATGACGCTCGCAGCCGTCGTGCTGCAGGAGGAGCTCGATGGCGATTATGAGCCGACCGAGGAGGAGATCGCCGAGTACGCGGGGTGGCTCGAGATGGACATGGAGAAGGAGACGCGGGGGGGAGAGGAGGAGGAGGAGGAGGAAGAGGAGATAGGGGAGGAGGAGGAGGAGGAGGAGGAGGAGGAAGAGGAGGTAGAGGAGGAGGAGGAGGAGGAGGAGGAGAAGACTCGAAGGAGGAAGGCACACACACACACACACACACACACACACACACACACACACACACACACACACACACACACACACACACACACACACACACACACACACACACACACACACACACACACACACACACACACACACACACACACACACACACACACACACACACACACACACACACACACACACACACACACACACACACACACACACACACACACACACACACACACACACACACACACACACACACACACACACACACACACACACACACACACACACACACACACACACACACACACACACACACACACACACACACACACACACACACACACACACACACACACACGAACGATCGGAGCTCCGCGCGGATTTGCTCGGATCGGCGCGGGACCCCCTTGCATGGCGGCGCCCCCGGCGCCGGGGGCGCCGCCAGGGGGTCCAGCGCCCATTCAGCAAATCCGCGCGGAGGTTTGAACGTTTCTGCTTATGCCCTGCTTCTTATTCAAAGGACGCCGACCTCCTGTGGATCGCGAAGGCGGGGCTGAAGGCCGCCCTGCCTCCGCCCTGGAAGCCGTGCCAGACCGGCGAGGACGGCGACATATTCTATTTCAATTTCGAGACGGGCGAGAGCATTTGGGATCATCCCTGCGACGAGTACCACAGGAACCTGTACCACAGGGAGCGCGCGAAGAAGTACGGGGAGCCGCTGGACGACGAGGCGGACCAGAGCCTGTCTGCGAGCGGGGCGCCGAGTGCGCCCTGCCCGGACGGCAGGGAAGAGCTCAGGGCGGAGAGCAAAGGCAAGAAGGAGAAGAAGGAGAAGAAGGAGAAGAGGGCGAGCAAGTCGGCCGGGAGTGCGGATCTCAGGGCAGCGAAGGAGCTCGCCCCGATCTCCGTCGCCGTCGGCCTCGGGGGGGGGGCCCGCTTGGGCTCCAGCGTCGGCCAGCTCGGGCGCGACCTGGACCTGGAGAACTCAATGGAGGAGTCGACGACGGAGAAGAGCGCCAGGTCCATATCGGAGTCGCGCGACCTTGACCTGGATAATCTACAGGCCTGCGGCCACCCCCGCCGGCCAACCCCCCCAACCGCCCGAGGCACTGAGTGCTTCCTCGCCGTCGTCGTCCGCATCCGCTCATGCTGGTGTCGCTCCTGGATGGTTCTCGAGGCCTTGTCGTGGACCTCTCAGGTCCATCTTGGGAGCCTTCTTTTTTTCCCGGAAAGGCTTGGGCTGCAGGGTCTCCGTTCGTTTCTCATCCTGAGGTGGGGGCTATTGTTTTGTTGTGTAGATGCGCTCGTGCTCAGCTTAGCCGTACTCAGAAATCAGACGCACTCACATTTAGACACAGATACACACAATCAGACTCGACCACGCTCAGACTCACTCACACTCAGGCTCACTTACGCTCGGACTCTCACGCTCAGCCTCACTCAGTCTCAGACTACTTCTCACTCCGATTTCCTCGCATTCGCAAGTGCCCGAGGGCCATTGGTAGCATCCCAAGGGGGAGTCACCAGGGGGTGCCTCACGGGCCCGTTGGCGCCCAGATTGTGGTGGAGGGCACGGATACTGCTGTCCCAATCGCTCGACATCCCGCAGCACCACAGCAGCGCGAGCGCCGGTGCAGCGCGGCTGCTCGTAGCCGCGAGGCCCCCACTGGGCGTGGAGGGGGGGCCGGCGGATTCCCTGGGCAACCAGGGCGACTCCAGGGACGCCCCCCTGGGGAACCAGAGCGACCCCGGGGACGCTGCCCTGTGCGCCGCCCGGGCGAGGGCGGGAGACCCAGAGGAGGCCCCAGCGGCCGGCGGCGACCCGGGCCCGATCGCCGAGGACCCGCGCGAGAGCAGCGCCGCTCGGTCGCCCGTGGAGGCGCCCACGAAGAGGATGCCCTCCGACTCGCCTGCGGAGCAAGTGGCCGAGCGCCCTGCGGGGGCCGACGGGGGCCTCCGGGCGGACGTTGAGGGGTACCGCGAGGAGCGGATGAGGGCTGAGAGGGAGCGCGTCGAGCGGGAGATCGCCGAGTGGCTGGAGCAGGAGAGGGAGAGCAGAAGGGCGGAGGGCGAGCGGGCGATTGCGCGGCTTGAGGCCGAGAACAAGGTGAAGATCGCCAAGCATCGGAAGGAGATGGCGGAGCAGTTCGAGCTGGAGAAGGACCAGGCCTTCGCAGAGATGAACAGCGGCCAGGAGAAGAAGGTCCGGGAGGAGCGCCAGCGCCTGCAGAAAGAGTTCGAGCAGAAGAAGCGCGACATGCGCGCGGAGATGGAGAAGGCGGCGGCGGACGAGGCCGAGGCCGAGGCCGAGCTCAGGGCCCAGCTGGCTGCCGCGGTGGAGGAGCAGGCCCGCAGCAGGGCACAGCTGGACGACGCCCGGCGCGCCAAAGAGGGCCTCGAGGAGAGCGAGCGGTCGCTGCGGCTCGCCCTGGACGCCCTGCGCGAAAGCGCCCAGAGGGCCGGGGAGCTGGAGCTGGCGAGCCGGGAGGCCTCCGAGGCGGCGGCGCAGCGAGCTCTGGAGGCGGAGCGCGGGCGGGAGGAGGCCCGGGAGGAGGCCGCGGCCTCGGCGGCGGAGTGCGGGCGGCTGCGGGAGGCCGAGCAGGCGAGGCTGGCGGGCGACCGCGGCGTGCAGGCGCAGCTGGAGCGGCTGCGGGGCGAGCTCGGCCGGAGCGCCGAGGAGGCGGGCAGGCTGCGGGCCGAGGCCGCCGAGGCCGCGGAGCAGCTGGCGGCGAGCGAGGGGGGCTGCCAGCGGGCGCGCGCCGAGGCGGCGGAGAGCGCCGGGCGGCTCCTGCAGGCGGAGCGCGAGGAGCGGGGCACACGCGGGAGGGGCCCTGCGCCGGGAGTCGCCCTCTCGGTGCGGGCCCACTGGGGCGCCCCGATCGCCGAGCTGTGCTTGGCGCCCCCCCGCGGCCCCCAAGAGGCTGCGCACCAAAGGTCACTCTTACCCAGGGTCGCTCTTGCCTGTAGTCGGGAGGGGCCGGCCGCAGGTAGGAGTGACCTGTCGCCGGAATGAGCTTTGCTGCGGGCACGCTGGGCTTTCGCTTGCGCAGCTCCGTCTTTCGAATACACTGGCGTCGGTTGGCTTCTGGTAGTCGATGAGATAGCGCCGACGGGCAGCGTCGAGGTACGTCGACGTAGCGTCGATCTTCTTCGATCTGGGGCCGACCAGCGGCGATTCGCAAGAGCCAACAGGATGGTACGGGAGGCCCCCAGGCGTTGCCCGCGCTCGGGTCTGGCTCCCCCCCCCCCCGAGAGGCGCGCACCAGAGGCCGCTCTTGCCTAGGACCACCTCTTTGCGTCCAGCCAGAGGAGGGGCGCCTGCGAGGGCTGGCCGACGAGGGCGAGCGGGCCAGTGCCGGGCTGGAGGCGGCGGAGGCGGCCTGCGGTGAGCTCCGCGGGGAGTGCGGGCGGCTGCAGGAGCAGCTGCAGCAGGCCGAGGGGAGGAGGGCACAGGAGAGCCGAGCGTCCGAGGACGCAGCCGCGGCGGCCGCGGAGTCGCTGAACCGGGCGCTGCGGCAGGTGGCGACCTTGCAGGCCGAGGTGTCGGGGAACAGACAGTGACACGACTAGCAAAACTCGGAGGTCCGCGCGCCAGGAGGGGGGTCCCGCGCCGGTGCGAGAAATCCGCGCAGGCCTCTGAGTTTTTCATGTTTTGGTCGTTGCTCGTTCCCATGAAGGTGGACGCAGCCAGGGAGGAACGCGGTGGGCTCGAAGAGAGGCTCTGCGAAGTTTCCCGACTGCGGGACCTGGCCGCGGGCAGCGAGGATGCCAGAGCCAGGCTGGAGACATCCGAGGCCACCTGTGGCGAACTCCGCCAGGAGCACGGGCGGCTGCAGAAGCAGCTGCAGCAGGCCGAGGAGAGGAGGTCGCGAGAGAGTCGAGCGTCCGAGGACGCAGCCGCTGCGGTGAGGGAGTCGCTGGACGGGGCGCTGCGGCAGGTGGCGAGCCTCCAGGCCGAGGTGGACCGAGCCAAGGAGGAACGCAGGCAGCTCGAAGAGGAGCTCGGCGAGGCAGCGCGACGGCAGACGCCCCGAGCCGAAGAGGAGAGCTGCAGCCGAGCTCACCTGGAGAGCCTCCTGGCAGGTGCCAGGGCAGAGGCCGCGACCGCGGCGGAGGAGGCCTCGCAGCTGCGGGCCAGGTGCCAGAGCCTGCGGGAGGCGGCGGAGCACACGGCCAGCAGCAAGGCCAGGACAGCGGAGGCCGCCGCGGCCAGGGGGGGCAAGCTGGCCGGCCGAGCGCCGCCGCGCGAGGCGGAGGCGGCGGAGTTCTGCGAGCTGCGGGCGAGGCTGGCGGAGCAGCAGGCGGAGCTGGAGGCGCTGCGGCAGCGCGGGCCGCCGGACGATCAGCTGCGGCAGCGCTCCTCTCGGAAGCAGTGGGCCCAGGAGGAGCGGGTGCTTCTCGCGATCATCCAGGAGCGCGACGACGCCCTGCTGCGGCTGCGCGCCGAGTCCACGCGCGTGGCCCTGGCCCACGCGCGCGAGCTGAGCGGCGCGCGGCTGGGGAGGGGTGCCGAGGCGGCGGACAGCTGGGGCGAGCTGCGGCGGCTGGAGGAGGCCCTCGGCGGCCAGTGCGCCGAGACTGCCGCGGCGCGGGACGAGGCGGAGCGGAGGGGCCGCGAGGTCAGGCGCCTGGAGCTCGAAGAGCACCGCTCGCTGAGGAGGATCGAGGCGCTCACGGCGGAGGTCGAGAGCGGGCGGCAGGAGGTCGCCCAGATGAAGAAGCAGGTCGCCGACTCCGACAGCTGCGCCGATCAGGCCCACGCCGCCTCCCGCGCCGAGCGCGCGGCGCGGGCTGCGGCGGAAGGAAGGTCGCGCGAGCAGCTCCGGGAGGTGAGGCTGCTCCGGGACCAGCTGGACGAGAAGGAGCACGAGATCGGGATCCTGGTGGGCGACCTCCGCAGGCTGCGGGCAGACCTCGCGGAGTCCGAGCGCGGGGGGTCCGGGCTGCAGAGGCGGTCCCGCACGCTGGACCTCGACGACCTCGACGACTACGCGAGGCTGCGCGCCAGCGCGCGCGCGGAGGGCCGGTCGGCGGAGGCGGTGGCCTGGGGCCCAAGCGAGACCCCCGCGGCCGCGTCGCAGGACGCGGCGCCGCCCGTGCCGTGCGCGTGGGAGAGCGCGGACAGGTCGATCGGCACGCTGACGGCCGCGGAGCTGGTCGTGCTGCGGGAGGCCAAGCTGCGGCAGGCGCCGCTCGAGGCCACGCCGCCAGCCGCGGCCGCCGCCGCGGGGACTCGAGGCGCCCAGGCTGCGGCGCGGCAGTCGGAGGACCTCCACGTGGGTCCCCGGACCCCCGTCGTCATGCTTTTTCCGCATCTTCCCCGGGGCCCGGCGAGGGCCCTGAGTTGTCGAAAATACAGCCACAATAGCCTTCCGTCGTGATTTTCTCGCGGTTGTTGGAAGGGGGGGTCCCAGTTATCCGATGTTGTGATTTATTCAATGCGCGGTCCTTAAGTCTCGACCCATTCCCCGGGACCCGTTTTTCATCCGGATCGTCGTTTTTCCCAACCATCCTGTGGTGTTGGGTCCTCGTTTTGAAGAGACGGTGCCCAGCGTTCTCCTTCCTCCCTTCCTCCCGCTGCCTCCTCCCCCCTCCCATCATCATCATCATCATCATCATCATCATCATCATCATCATCATCATCATCATCATCATCATCATCATCATCATCATCATCATCATCATCATCATCATCATCATCATCATCATGATCACCATCATCGTCACCGCCATCACCACGATCATCATCGACATCATCGACGTCATCATCACCACCACCACCACCACCATCATCATCATCATCATCATCATCATCATCATCATCATCATCATCATCATCATCATCATCATCATCATCATCATCATGATCATCATCATCATCATCGTCGTCATCGTCATCACACACAATTCGGCACACCCCTCACACGTTTCGTGGCCCCATAGGGAGCTCCACCGAAGGCCCCAGTGGCCGCGGCCGCATGCGTCACGCACACCCAATTCGGCACACCCCTCACACGTTTCGTGGCCCCATAGGGAGCTCCACCGAAGGCCCCAGTGCTGCGGCCCGCATGCGTCCCCACACCCAATTCGGCACACCCCTCACACGTTTCGTGGCCCCATAGGGAGCTCCACCGAAGGCCCCAGTGCTGCCGCCCGCATGCGTCACGCACACCCAATTCGGCACACCCCTCACACGTTTCGTGGCCCCACAGGGAGCTCCACCGAAGGCCCCAGTGCCGCCGCCCGCATGCGTCCCCACACCCATTTCGGCACACCCCTCACACGTTTCGTGGCTCCACATAGGGAGCTCCACCGAAGGCCCCAGTGCCCGCGGCCGCATGCGTCACCCCCATCCACTTCGGCCAACCCCTCACACGCTTCGTGGCCCCATAGGGAGCTCCACCGAAGGCCCCAGTGCCCGCGGCCGCATGCGTCACCACGGTGGCGTGCCAGGGGCGCACCATGCGCGAAGGCGACGGGGCGGGGGAACGGCGCTCCGGGGGCGGCCAGACCTCCGGGGCGCGAGCAGTCCGCGGCCAGACCATTTCTCGGTCCTGTGGACTCTCGCCCTGGGCCGTCGGCTGCCCGGCGCGCTGCTCCCTCGGTCGACGTCGCCCAGGCGTGATCCTGGATTGCGGCCGCCACGAGGTAGGGAACGGCAAGAAGGAGGACGACGACTGGTGGCTGGAGCTCTACGCGCTGCTCTCGCGCGAAACGCGCCACGAGGACCTCCTGCTCATGCGGGCGCCGCGCATCGAGTTGTCCCTGGCAGGGCCGCCGCAGGGCATGCGGAAGCAGCTGGAGCAGTTTGCGGCGCGCACGAAGCGGTGCAGGAGGGAAGCGACGGCCCTCGCCAGGGAGCTCGGCTTCACCGAATTCATCCGCGAGGCCTGACCTGAGGAGCGTCTCCCCCGAGCCGCGCCTTCTCTCGACTGCCCGACTAATTGTTTGGCCTCGCGCCGCGGACGACCCGCGCGCGTCGCTGGGACCCTCTCGGGGCGACCAGCGCGCGTCGCGGGAACTCCGTGCTGCGGGGGGCCCGGCGCCTCGTTCGCCCGTCGTCGCTCTGCCCAGCGGTCAGAGACTTGCCCGCTATCAGCCAGCCAGTTAGCTAGTCAGCTCTCTCTGCTTCGCGCAGCGGACGACCCGCGCGCGTCGCTGGGACCCCGCCCGGGGCGACCAGCGCGCGTCGCGGGGACTCCGCGCTGCGCTGCGCCCGCAGCCTTGGATTTTGGAGTGCGCGGGCAAAGAGGAAGGAAAAGAAGAGCCGAAAGCGGGCGCGATCCTCGCAAGAGGCGTGCCGACATGGGCGTCGCGACGTGCGGACGCTGCCGTCGGGGTTCCCGCGGAAGCTGCCTGCGGCGGCCACGCCCAGTGTCACGTGTGTTCGGACAGGCATGCTCGAACCATTCACATTCATATACACTTACACTAGGCGTTTCCATGATCGCATTCATGCAAATATATTCACTCGCGCGCAGACCCATTCATACTCAGATTCCCTCGCGCTCTGACTCACCCGCGTTCTTTCTCTCGTAATCAGATCTATCGTATTCCTTTGCGTTGTGTGCCCCGCCACGTTTCGGCACACCCCTCGTGCGGTTCGTGACCCCATAGGGAGCGCCACCGAAGAAGATACACACAATTGCGATATTCACAACTGCATATGGTTGGGTCCTTCGCCAGGATAATTTGACGGTGCCCGGGCCCGGCGAGGGCCCCCAGAGGCCGACAGTTGAAAAGAACCTCCGTCTTGATGTTTTCAATGCGTTGGATCTCTGGGGTCCGCAGCCCTGAGGACGCCGAGGGCCTCGACGGCACCGACGGCCGCAACGCCACGCCCCGGGCGAGCGGGACCGCCACGCCGTCGTCGTGGGCGGGTGGGGCGTGGGGGCTGAGCCCCGCGGCCGGCTCGCAGCGGCAGGCCAGGGCGGGCCGCAGTGCGGCCACGACCCCGGCGGAGGCGCGCTGCTGGGAGGAGGCGCCCCACAGGGGGCTCCCAGACCTCCTCGGGGCAGGGAGGACCACCACGCATATTGCTGTTCCCAGAGAGCCAACGCGTTGAAAAATCGAAACGGAGGTCTTCTTCTCGACTTTCGGCCTCTAGAGGGGCCTCGCCGGGCCCCGGGACCGTCAACAAAAACGACTCGGGATGACCGACCGGTCCTTGGGAATGGGTCGAGACTTCGGGGGACCGCGCAGTGAACGAATCACATCACGACGTCGGATCTCTGGGAAGGTCCGATGGTCCTCAGGGCACGCGTGTTACTCCAGGCCTCCCAGATGGGGTCCGAGCAGATGGGGTCGGAGGATGGCGCCGCATCGACGATGCGCCTCGATGTGGGGCCCGTGTGCCCCCACGCATCGCCGATACATCGGCGATGCATTGGCGATGCGGCGCGATCCTTCGACCCCATCCACTCGGACCCCATCAAGGAGGCATCTAGTTACGTAGCTCAACGTGTGTGCTGCCATCGTTGGCCCGTGTCGGCCACCGTGACACCGAGATGGGGTCCGAGCAGATGGGGTCGGAGGATGGCGCCGCATCGACGGTGCGCCTCGATGTGGGGCCCGTCTGCGGAGCTCGGCCCCCGTGGGGCCCTCGCCCGGTCACGAGAGCGCCAGCGGCCCAGGATCACAAAGCTGGTCCCCGGGAAGGAGTCCAGACCCGGCGCCCGGAAGTCTCGGCTCCCTCCCCATGGACCAGCGATTCCTCTCAGGTCGTTTTTCGACGGGGCCTCCTTAGGAGAGGAAACAACACACAGACACAATGAGTCGTCGATTCCCCCGAAAAGATGGGAAAATATGGGGAGTGCGGGGGGAGACAGAAACCCCGAATATATATATATATATGGGGAAATATGGGGAATCTTTTTATTTGTGTGTATTTATTTGTGTGTCCTGGGGCCCCTTCACCTCCAGGGGACCACGCCGCGAACAAATCCTGGCGTGGGGGGTCTGGGCTCAGGGAGCGCCCGGGGGCAGCGCCACGTGGGCTGCCGGGCGCGATCTGGCCGTGGCGGCCTCGGCGTGGGGCGACGAGCAGCAGGCGCTGCGCCACTGGGGCCAGCTGGCGGCGGGCGCGGGCCTGCGCTCGGCGCCACGGGCGGCGGGCGCGTCGCCCCGCAGCCACAGCCCGTTCGGCGTGGGACTGCGGCGGGCGGGGAGGCTCAGGGGAGGGAAAGCGTACCCACATTCGGATGCAACTCCTGGGAGGTCAAAGTCTGATTTTGCCCTGGTCCGAAATCTGGTTGAGTCCGGCTGAATCCCGTTTAGTTCCGCTTAATCCCGCTTGATCCCGTTTAATCCCGCTTAATCCCGTTGAATCCGAGGGCCTCCCAGTAGTTGCCTCCTACCCCATACTGCTACGCCTTGACCGTTTGCCCCTTTTGCGGCCTCCGGGGGGGCCCTCGTCACCACCGCGGGGTTCGCCCCGAAATCCTGGTCAGGATGCACCTGGGAGAGGTACGGTGAGTACAGTCGGCCCGGATTAGTAGGTCGACCCTGCCAAGTCGAGGGTACGTACCCTTGCGCCCCATGTCTCACGACCCCTGCCTTTCAGATTCCTACGGCAGTGTGGCCCGCGGAAGGCTCTTGCGTCCTCTTGGGTGTCCTGCCCAATCAAGTCCGACTGTAGCAGTATCATTCCAAGAGATCCGATGTCCTGATTTTTTCAATGTTCGGTCCCCGGAAGTCTCGACCCATTCCCCAGGACCTGTTTTTCATCCTGAGTGGTTTTTGACGGTCCCGGGGCCCAGCGAGGGCCCCTCGAGGCCGAACATTGAGAAAAACCTGCATCTGGATTTTTGTCAGTACGCTGGATGTCTGGGTTGTTCTCTTTGGGTTTCCCAAGAGGCCGCCCTGCGAGCCAGAGAGCCCCAACCTGAGCTGGCTCTGCAGCCTGCCGCCCCGCCGCGCCTCCGACGACCGGCCCGCGTCCGCCCGGGCCCGCCTCCAAGGCAGCGGCCGGTGGCTGGGGCCGTAAATGCGGGCGCTGCCCAGGGTGTCCCTGGCCAAAGGTCCGATGGTCCTCAGGGCAGGCGTGTTCCCAGAGATCCAACGCATTGAAAAAATCAAGACGGAGTTTTTTTTTTGTTTTTTTGTTGGGGGGGCCTCTAGGGGCCCTCGCCGGGCCCCGGGACCGTCAAAAAACGACTCAAGATGAAAAGCCGGTCCTTGGGAATGGGTCGAGACTTCGGGGGACCGCGCAGTGAACGAATCACATCACGACGTCGGATCTCTGGGAAGGTCCGATGGTCCTCAGGGCACGCGTGTTACTCCAGGCCTCCCAGATGGGGTCCGAGCAGATGGGGTCGGAGGATGGCGCCGCATCGACGATGCGCCTCGATGTGGGGCCCGTGTGCCCCCACGCATCGCCGATACATCGGCGATGCATTGGCGATGCGGCGCGATCCTTCGACCCCATCCACTCGGACCCCATCAAGGAGGCCTCTAGTTACGTAGCTCAACGTGTGTGCTGCCATCGTTGGCCCGTGTCGGCCACCGTGACACCGCCTGCTTCGTATTGACCAGCCTGGGTGGAGAAGCACACGTTGGCGCCGGCACACACTCTGAGGATCATCGAAGAGTGTCCCAGGGATTTCCAGGGAGACCTTCATGGCCTCTGGAGCACCCCATCACACCAGGGACGCCTTGGGCCAGGGACACCTTTGGTAACCCTCGATGCATGTTTGCTTGCAACCCTCGCTGACTATAGCGCGGCCGCTGGTGTCGTAGGTTTCTATCTTGGCCTCCCTGCGCCAGTCTCACCCTCTGCATTAGCGCGCCGAGCCTGGAGGTCAATGAAGAGGCACGTGAATCGAAACTGCCTCTGACGTTTCAACAACTCGCGCGCATGGAGAAACACGCTTGGACCTCCGACGGTTCACCATTAAGCATAATATTTTCCCAACATTACTAACACCATGAATTCTTGGCCAAACGTAGGCCCCCAGGGTTCAGGGCTTACCCTGAACGTCTGGGTGGTTTCGTCCGAGACATCTGCAACAACAACCAATCCCTAGTGTTTCTGGCCCTCCTGACTTAGGTCCCCTCCTAGAGGAGTGAGGGTATTCTTGTTGCTTATCAAGAGTGGGGCGAGCGCCGACAGTTTATGCTTTGGCATGTTTTCGCTCCTCCAGCGCAGGATCCGAGGCCAGATTTCCTGCGAATCCAGCGCCCTGAAAAACGATCTGGTGAGTCGTTGGACATCGGTATCCTTGGGCCTCTTGGAGGGGGCAAAGAAATTCAGATCCACTGCCCACTGGGGTCCATGGACATCCGCACCCAAGGCGGTGGGTATGTGCACACTCTGCACTCGAACAGGAGGGCAAGGCACCTGTTCTCCCGTGGCGGCCACCATCTCCTCATGCGACGTTGCATTTCTTCTAAGACCCCTGAATGGGGCTCGCTTTTCATCCTAGGTCGTCTTTTGACAGCCCCATGGCCAGGCTGATCGGCCCCGAGAGGTCCACTACACGTGGACCCTCGTCGCAATTGTTCTATGCAACGCCCGGGTCTGAGGTCACGCAAAGGAATCGTAGGGGCCGTCAGTGGCAAGGATAAACGTAGGAATCGTAGGGGATAGGCTCATCGTAGGGGAAGGTAGGGGTCGTAGGAATCGTAGGGGAAGGTAGGGGTCGTAGGAATCGTAGGGGAAGGTAGGAATCGTAGGGGATAGGCTCAGGGGTAAACGCATCGACCCCCAGTCGCCCGCTCATCGCCAATCGGGGCCTGTTGGCCCACCCCGCCCAGGAGCCTGCTCACTTGCTATCGTGGGCAAATCGTCGAGCCATCGGCGAAATATGTATATATATATAGATACATATACATACATATATATATAAGTTTACATACCTATACGACCACCCTTCGGGTGATAGGGAGGTTTCGGGGGGGAGGAACCAACGTCTCACTCGATCGGTCTCACTATCAATCTCACTATCGATCTCACTATCGGTCTCGCTCGATCGATCTCGACCGATCGATCTCACAATCGATCTCACTCCATCCATTTCATCCGATCGATCTCACGATCGATCTGACTATCGATCTCACAATCAATCTCACTATCCATCTCACTATCGATCCCACAGTCGATCTCACATTCGGTCTAACTATCGATCTCACAATCGATATCACAACCGATATTACAATCAACGTCACCATCATCATCATCAACAACATCATCGTCATCCACGTCATCAACATCATCATCATCAGCATCATCGGGATACCACCCTCATCATCACCTCATCACCATCATCATCAACAGCATCATCATGACCATCATCATCATCACCCTCGGGCACCATCATCGTCACCATCATCATCAACACCCTCATCATCGGGACACCATCATCATCATCGGAACACCACCATCACCATCAGCATATCAACATCCTGGTCATGAACAACATCATCAACATCATCATCATCACCATCATTGGGCCACCATCATCAAAATCACCATCAGCACCTCATCATCATCCTTTTCATCAACCTCATCATCATCATCGGGGCACCATGATCGTCATCCTCGTCATCAGTATCATCATCATCAGGGCACCATCCTCATCACCATCATCATCATCAACAGCATCATCATCAACCTCATCGTCATCATCATCATCGGCACACCATCATCATCATCATCTTCATCATCATCATCAAATCATCTGATCATCATCAACATCATCATGATCATTATCATCATCGTCGGGGCACCATCATCATCATCAGCAAACTCATCCTCATCAACATCGTCATCATCGGGGCACCATCATCACCACCATCACCATCATCATCATCAACAACATCGCCAACATCAGCATCATCATCATCATCAGCATCATCATCATCATCATCATCGGGACACCATCGTCATCACCACCATCATCATCATCATCAACATCATCAACATCATCATCATCATCATCATCATCATCATCATCATCATCATCATTATCATCATCATCGGGACACCGACGGGACACCGGCGGGACACCGCTTGCCACGGGCCCCTGAGCGGGACACCAGCGGGACACCGCGGGGCACCGGTTGCCGGAAGGGAGACTTTTGGTCCGGCCGCGCCTCAGCTACAGGAGACTTCTTTCTAGCCCGCCCACGCAGCTTCGCCTCGCCCGCACGCACGGCACGCCGCCATGTTCTGTCCGCTAGGACCCCTTCAGTGTAAGCGCTGATTGGGGTGTGTTTGTATACATGTATGTATACATTGGTATGTATACATTTCTAGATCCACACATGCATGTATATGCATATACATATATATATATATATATATATATGGTCGACCCCCCCCAGCACCCCCAGACCACCCAAAAACAAACGAAGCACCAACTTATATATATATATATATATATATATAGTCAGATCATCGGTTACGACTTATTTTCCATGTCCCCCCCCCGAGCCAGCCCCCGCGCATTTTTCTTTTCAAGGCCAGGCAGATCGAGGTCCGAGGCTGGCACCCGCACTCCCCCTTTGAGAAACATGCATTCTTGACCGCACGTGTCCCTGCATTGCCCGCCAGTCGCTTCGCCAAGCCGCTTACGAGGCAGCAAGGACTAATAACGGTAAACAGAGAATCGGATACAGGTGCCATGGCGCCCAGCCTTTTCAACCGAACAGGTGTGCGACCGAAACAAACGGTGACCGAAGACGAGCCCGAGGTTGTGACCGACTCACCGACCACAAGGTGTGACTGAAATTGTTACTGACATTGGAAAACGCATCTCGATCCAAGAATTTCGATCCCACTCTGGCGAGTTCGGAAAAATCGCGCGCCGGCTTTGGTCACGCTCGGGCAGGCGTTCGCGTACAGCTTCGCCCCCCTGGTAGAGACAAGGTTGCGTGGCAGGTAACATGACGATGAACCTTTCCCTGAGGACTTCTCGTTCCCCTGGAGCTCGTTCGATGGAAGCGCTGTCTGTTGCAGTTGCGGCTCCGTTCAACATGGCCCCCAAGCAATTGATACGGTACAAAGTCCAAGACGCCGTCTAGTGTATTCGACGTGTTTCGGGAGCTCTTGGCCCCCCGCGTCGGGCATGGGCCCGAATGGCTGTCGCGCGGGGCACGCATACTACCGCACGTGCACGAAGAGGCAACATGCCAATGCGGCTGATGGCACACCTGCCCCCTCCCCCCCCGTGGGGGCCCTCCCCGGAGGTCTCGCTGCAACGCTGCGGGGCGGAGAGCGCCACGGCCGCGGAGCACTGCGAGGCCCGCGCTGGTCAGCTTGAGATTTCGGGACGATGATGGTCAGGGCGCGTGTTGTGATCCACCTTGTGCCTTCCTCCCTCGGCCTGCGTCGGCGTTTGTTGCACCGCCCGGGTCGGACTGGAGGGCTTCGGTGGACAAGCACGCGTTGGCGCCAGCACACGTTCTGAGCATCATCGACCAAGGCGGGAGGGAGAGGCAAGATGTGCAGTCGAGAGCCACATGTTGTAAGCCACCGGCCGCCATTGTTGTAGCTTTAACATATCACAGCCTCATGATCGTACGCTCTACGTATGTCTCAAGAGAAGACCCCTGCCTGGCCCAGGGATCAAGTGTGGTGGTGCGGCAGGGGGGAAATCTTCATAGAGAGCAGGGATGCTGGAATAGGTCGCTGTGAACTGACTCCGCCCACTATAGGCGCGCAGGAGTCGTGGCGCACGCAGCTTCCTTCCGCATGAGGAGGAGGAGGAGGAGGAGGAGGAGGAGGAGGAGGACGAGGTGAAGGAGGAGGAGGTGGGAGGAGGAGGCGAAAGACAGGCAGAGGAAAGGGACAGGAAGGAGGAGGAAGAGGACGCAGGAGGGACTGCAGATGGAGGAGGAGGAGGAGGAGGAGGACGAAAACTATGAGTGTGCGCAAGACAACACTTGAGAGGCAGGAGGGAGAGGAAGAGGAAGATGAAGAGGAGGATGAGGAGAAGGAGGAAGAGGAGGAGGAAGACGCAGGAGGAGGAAGAGGGAGACGAGGGAGGAGGAAGAATGGCGCAGGAGGGGCAGGAGGAGGAGGATAAGGAGGCCAGGGGGAGGAGGCAGGCAAGAGCCCCCGAGGGCCGGGCCGAGGGCAGAACCTGGCGGCCGTGGGCCCCACCGTGCCTCCGCGCGCGGCGCCTCGGCGCGCTCGCGGGCGGGGCGCCGCGCGGACGCTCGGCGCTTCCGGCGCCTGCCGCGGCCGCCCCGGCCGCGGGGAGCCGACGCAGCGGGGGGGCCTCGCCGTGGGGGCATCGTGGGCGAAAAACGTGGTTTTTCTAGGATGGGCAGCCTCAAGCTACAGTGGGCGACCGATGGCGGCCTGTGGGCGGGCCGAGTGTAGCCGACACTTGTACACACCACCAGCTGCGCTCACTCATCACGCACCTGTGCACACACATACGGTGGGCGCGCAGCGCCGCAGCCACAACGAGCGTGAGCAGCCAGCGCTGTAGTCAGACAGCGACTCGCAATAGCCAGGCAACACAATCGCGAATCGATGTAACACGGTAGCAAACAGAAGACGATGCAACACAGCGGCAGCGAACAATAACCCCTGAGATAGTCTGCACTGCGCATCTGCAGCCATGGTCCAGAGAAGTTTGGGCGAAAAATATATCCGTATCCGCGGGGTCGCGGGCAGGGCCCCTGGGCCGCGACCTCGCGGATACAAGGCGTGTTTGTTCGCAGATGCCCCGCGCTGAACGTATGACATACGTTCCGCTATTTGGGCCTCGAAGGAGCCCACGGCACCTCCGTTGCGCAGATGACAACACCCGAGCGAGCCGCGGGCACGAGGCAGGAGGCAGGCGGGAGGAGAGAGGGATAGGGCGGAGGAGGAGGCAGGAGGAGGGGGAGAAGGAGAAGAGGAGGAGGAGGATGGGGCAGACATTGCTTTATTCAACGCGAGTGCCCAACCAAGGGAGGATTTTGGACAAAGGACTCAGGACGAATAGCCAGTCCCAGGGAAGGGGTCCAGACCTCTGGAGGTCGACGCTGTGACAAAATCACGACGTCGGGGGTCTAGGTCGGACGGGACCCTTTCTGGGCCCTGCAGGGACGGCCCAGAGAGCGACTCGGGATCGGTCAGGGCCAGGACGAGGAGAAGTCCGTTCCAGAGCGTTCCGGAACGTTCTCAGAGCGTTCCGGAATGTTTTGAGGTGGCCAGGGCGCCCGACACATCCTCCAGAGCTTCAGGGCCGCCGGACCTCAGAGATTCTCGATTCATCCTCGCCCGATTATGTCCTCGTCCTGGCTTCGCCTTGCAGGATGGGAAGCCAGTCCCCAGGAAGGGGTCCAGACCTCCGGGGGGCCACGCTGTCACAATATCGCGACGTCGTATGTCTGGGTGGGCCTTTCCGCACTGCGTTGTCCACCCACCTGCTGTGGCAAGTATTAAATGAGCACTGAGCGTGACCAGCCTTAGCCGCTCGCTGCAGTGACGTCGCTCTGCCGCTTGAAGAAATCTGGGCCGCTCCGATGGGATCCAAAGAGACTCGTTCGGCGGATCGCGCCGAATCGCCGATGCATCGGCGATACGGCTCGATGTGGACCCCGATTCTCTTTACGCCAACGGCGCAGATGCATCGGTGATGCGGCGCGTTCCTCGGACCCCATCTACTCGTACCCCATCAGGGGGTAAAGGGGGCTGCCGCGTCCCCACCCCAGCCCTCTCGGCGGAGGCAACACACTGCGTCGAGAGAGCAAACGCCATCCATCCGCTCCTCTGTCTCACGCAGCGGCACAGCGTGGCTGCGGTGTTGGGCAGGGCTCGAAGGTGGAAGCACTGCTCGAGCCGTTTGAACAAATAGCATGCCAAACGACGTCGCGCTGCCAGGGCCTGGCCGCGCGCGCGCCGCGGAGCCTCCGCGGCGGGCGGCTGGCGCTGCCGTGTGCCGTGGTGCCCCTGCACTCGGACCCAGGGGGGGGTGCGCGGTGGCCAGGCGGCGGCGGTGGGGCCTCCTCGGAGGTGTGCGCGGGGCCATCTCGAGGGGGACGTCTCTTGACACAGAGCGCGGATTCTGCGGAGTTGTTCCGCTGTTTGGGGACTTCGGGGGCCATCGCCGGGCCCCGGCATCGTCAGAGAGCGACTCGGGATGAAGAGCCAGCCTTGGGTGAAGAGTCGGGATTCCCGGGGAACCCGTGTGAAGAAACCCGAGGACGTCGAACGTCCGCCCCGCGGGTGGGGTCATCCAGCAATGTTAACCTTGACCCCATCCGCCCTCGGCCGAGAGGGGCAGACATTGGAGATGATGGTGAGTGTGGTCAAAGACATCGGCAGCATCATGGTCCATCACCTCCCGTCCTTCCTCTCCTGCCCCTCTGTCCCTTCCTCCTTTCCCCCCCTCGCACTTTGCTCATGGGTGGGTCGGGAGCGCACCTCTGATGCACGTGTGCGCGAGGAGCGGGGCGCAGGGGGTCAGCGAGCCGCCGCTCGGCGGCGAGGACTCGGAGGAGGGCGGGCTGCGACGGCGGTGGCTGGCCCTCGGGGGGCCCGCCGCCACGGCCGGATGCGGCTCGGAGAACGGGTGCGCGTGGGCCCTGGGAGGGGTCCTTAAAACGACGCGAAGATCGGGACAAAATCGGATCGGGATAACTCGAAATCTCTGAGAATCGGCGGGTTTGGAGGATGTATTGGGCGCCGCGGCCGCTCCAGAGCGTTCCGGAACGCTCTGAGAGCGCTCCGGAACGCTCTGGAGCGATTAATCCCGATCCTAGCCCTGTTTTAGTCCTGGGACCGAGCTTGAGCTGCCGCTGCCTGAATCCGCCCCGATCCGGCCTCCCGAGCCATCATGCCATCTGTGGTTCCGCCCTCCTCTCGCGGTGCCCCTGTACTTTCACACGATGTTGTGTGCGGCGCGTTTGTTGTGATGGGAATGCTTGGTTAGAGGACTGGTACCATAGTGTGCAGAAGACCTTCGGCTTCCGCCGAGAGTCAGGGGAGCTCTTCACCCCCAGGTCGCGTTTAAGGGGCCTTAGCGGCTGCGTCTTCATCGTGGGTAAAGAAGAAAGAAAGGGGGAAAAAAGGTCGCGCTGCGCCACCTCGGAGGCCATCTGGGGCTGTCCGAGGCCCTCCTGGAGCCACCTTGGCAAGGCTTCTTGTGCCCAGATGGCTCCGTGAGAGCCATCTGGGCACGGGAAGCTCTGCCAAGGATTCCCCCTCGGAGGACCACAAAGTCCTTCAAGAGCCGCGGGTTGTTCACCGCTGTCCCATAGGAGGCTTCTCCACGTTGAAGCGCAACAAAAAAGAGGGGCCGCCGATAAGCACCGCCCCCTTGGGGCCCCTCTTGAGGCACCTCTCGAGGCACCTCTCGGGGCACCGTCTTGGAGCCTTGATCTCTTGGCCTCTTGGGGATCTGTTGTGCGATCTTGAAGTGGCGCCTGGCGGCGCCTGAGGAGGGCGGCAGCGGCGGTAACGTCGTCGTGGCTTGGCCAGGACTGCGCATACACCCACCCTGGCCCGGAGATCGGTGCTCCTGCGCTCGGACGTGGCGGGGAAAGGGGGG